TGGCTAATTCACTGTTGTCGATTTCCTTATCATCCTTACCCACACGTAAGACTTGAGAGCAATTTGCATTCTGCGTTTTCCACGGTGCCGTCCGTGTACATTTTTCTGAGTTTCCCGTAACCTCAGCAATCATCTTCTTTCACAGTTCACAGGTTATAGAGTTTTCTAGAGAAGCCTCGGGATTTGCTGCAGAATTCTTCTGGAATTTTAGCTTCTTTCCAGGTTGTTTTTTTTTTTTTGTTTTTTTGCTTTGTGTGTCTCTTTCTAATGCTCTTATAACTGCATGCATATTCTTTTGCTTCCCTTGAATTAGTTCCAGAAGGGGAATTACTACAGCACAGGCTGTGGACTTAGTGCAGATCTTTTGACACCCCACTGTTTTGCCTGCCAAATGTGCTCCTGTTGCCCCTTGTGCCCAGTGGCACCCGCTACGCCGCAAGCCTGACGGTGTGGCTTTCCCCATTTTTCCAAAGTTTCTTGGACGTAAAATGATACCTAAAAGTTACTTTAGATGTCATTCCTTCCATTATTATAAACATTTTTCCTTTCGTTTTAAATGTATACCTGATACTAAATTTATTCCTGATAAGTCACATATTCATATCCTTTTGCCTATTTCTTTGAGTCTGAGTGGCTTTTTTAAAGCTTCATTTCAAGAAGATTATGAGCACTTTTGTAAGAGTGTTAAATACAAAATATTTCTACACTCTTAGATGTTGATGTTTCCATTGTACTGCAGTTGAATAATCTTGGTGCAATCATATCTGTCTATTGTTTCCTTCGAGCCTAGCTGTTGCTTCAAAGCATGGATAAGTACTTGGTTTGTAAAGGAATGTGGACAATTTTATTACATGCTATTTCTAGAGTTTAATTTTAAAATGAAATATTCAACTATACAGAATCTATCTTTTATGTTTCTTTTGGTTCCAACTGAATGCTTTTCTGATTTCTATGTAGATATCAGACATTTGCTTAATTATCTTGCCTTTCTTCCATTGTACTGAGAATATGCTTGGATCAGATACTACATGTATAGTTAGCTATGTGTATGGACGGTCTAGATTGTGCTACATTCTTCTTTTTGAACCAGTACCAGAGTAAATTAATTTTACATTGTAGCATTACTACAGTGTGGTCCCTTTAAAAAATATTCTACTTTTTCTGAGTATTTTATAACAATTTTGTTGAATTAAAAAAATCCTGTTTTGAACTTTGAATTAAAACTGTCCTAAAATTGTAAGTTAAACTTGCAACATCACTTTTCAAATTTAGTATTCTCATTTGGTCACAAAGTAAACCTTCCAGCAAATAAATTTTGTTATGAAATAAGGTTTTTTTAATTTCATTTTTAAGGTCCCATTTGTAGTTGTTAGGTGCATCAAGTCAGTTCCAACCCACAATTGACCCTGTGCACAAAAGAACAAGCATTGCCCTGTCCTGCACCATCCTCACAGCTACTTCTAAATCTGAGCCCCCTGTTGCAGCCACGATGTCAATCCATCTTCCTGAGGGTCTTCCTATTTTGCACTGCCCTTCCACTTTACCAAACATGATGTCCTTCTCCAGGGACTGGTCTCTCCTGACAACATGTCCAAAGTAGGTAAGATGAAGTCATCCCACCCTTGCCTCTAAGGAGTTATGAAAGGAAGGACGAAAGTGAAGCACACATTATCCACGCATCCAGAGAGAGACTGAGCTTCATGCCCTAAAAACCCTTCCTTTGTAGCACAACTGACGTATGTTAGGTTCATTAAGGAGCTTTTCTGGGACTTTCAAAGACTTCCTAGAATATGAGACCCTGCCCCCAGAGCAAAATTTGAAGTTCTAGCTTAGTCTTAATATACTGCCAATCCCTGGGTTACAAATGTCTGACTTCGGGGCAATTTCTATTGTCCCTTAAATGTGATATAAAATTGCCATTTAAAACTATTGAACCAACGTCCTTCTCTCTCTCTCTCTCTCACACACACACACACACACACACACACACACACACACACAAATCTTTATCGTAATCCCTGTAACTTGCTATATGTATAGCTTTTCAATTGTTGAAAAGGAGTCCAGTCTTGCGCTTAACAACTAAGTAAGAACTGGTATGTAACTGTCCTTTCATAAAAACCCATTGGGGAACTGGTCTCCGTTGTAACCCAAACTCGCTGCCATTGAGTCAGTGCTGACTCTTAGTGACTCCCTGTGGGTTTCTGAGGCTGTAATTGTTGACAGGAGTAGAAAACCCAATCTTTTCCCCCAGAAGCTGCTTGCGGTTTTGAATTGCCCACACACATAGCCCAACACATAACCACACCCATGGGCTGCCTTATTTTTCTGTGGCTGGGTAGAAGCAGAGTCCACCCCACCCTCAGTTCAGTTGACATATCAGCTTATTTCACCAGATGCCAGTATTTTCTGGGTCACCACCATCCTCTGAATATGACAAGAGGCATTTTTACCACCTTGCCTGTTCACCTCATCCTGTCACGTGGTATCCATTCTTCTTCCACCCATGTTAACAACCCAAGTCACTCGGAGCAAAGAGTTAGGCTGACATTTGGGTTTTGCTGAAATCTCACAAAGACTTTGATCACTCTTATGAGCAGACCCACCTCTTCTGTATAACACATGACACCTTCCCTGGCATGTTTTTTCAGAATGAGCCTCCAGCAATGGATGACTTACATAGTTCATGGTTAGACCTGAGTTCAACTCCAAGCTGACCACTTGCAAGGCAACCATGGAAAATTATCTTAAATTCTCTGTTAACCCCTGTTCCCATCTATAAAATGGAGAAAATATGTCAATCACATTCATTCAGGAAATATATCATGAGTGCCTCCTACCTGTCGAGACTGAGAAAGGTGTTACTTTTATGGCAGAGAACACAACAAAGGTGCCTATGGTTTTGCAGCAATACTTTCTGACTTGGTGTTACACCCACCACATATCAGTACACATCAAGCGAAAGAGGTGATGGGAGCTAGCATCAGCAGCCCTGCTTTCAAGAGTAGACTTGTCATGGTACAAGTTTATAGGCAACTTTACAGTTGGAGTGACAAGATGAGACGGTTCAGTATGACTAATGTTAATGTAAGCTGTTGACATTCATTTGTAACACAAACTAAAGCTTATGCAAACAATTTCAAGAAACTTGGAAATATTGTGACGAGCGCTGTACTTCCTATATAGTATTGAATTCAGAAGAGCTCTTAACTCTCCAGAATGGTGGGAGAGCAGCCGCACTGATAATTACCATCTTTCTTTCTGAACATGATCCATGTAGCTTTCTTTTCTGTGGATTCATTGTATGACATGAAGAGTCATTCTCTTTGACAGAGTGCTTCTGTTCATTCAAATAGAGTTGAAATAGAAATAATCAAGAACTGATTATCTTATCCAGACCTCTGAAATTGCTCCGCACCACCCAGTTCTCCCTCCCACCCACC